CATTAACTAAACATGCCTGAACATAGCTGTATATACCTACATATAGCTACAGATACCTACATATAGCTACAGATTCCTACATTAACTAAACATGCCTGAACATAGCTGTATATACCTACATATAGCTACAGATACCTACATAAAGCTACAGATTCCTACATTAACTAAACATGCCTGAACATAGCTGTATATACCTACATATAGCTACAGATACCTACATAAAGCTACAGATTCCTACATTAACTAAACATGCCTGAACATAGCTGTATATACCTACATATAGCTACAGATACCTACATAAAGCTACAGATTCCTACATTAACTAAACATGCCTGAACATAGCTGTATATACCTACATATAGCTACAGATTCCTACTACATATAGCTACAGATTCCTGAACCTGTAACTAAACATGCCTGAACATAGCTGTATATACCTACATATAGATACAGATACCTACATAAAGCTACAGATTCCTACATTAACTAAACATGCCTGAACATAGCTGTATATACCTACATATAGCTACAGATTCCTACATATAGCTACAGATTCCTACATTAACTAAACATGCCTGAACATAGCTGTATATACCTACATATAGCTACAGATTCCTACATAAAGCTACAGATTCCTACATTAACTAAACATGCCTGAACAGAGCTGTATATACCTACATATAGCTACAGATTCCTAACATATGCCTGCTACAGATTCCTACATTAACTAAACATGCCTGAACATAGCTGTATATACCTACATATAGCTACAGATGCCTGCATATAAAGCTACAGATTCCTACATTAACTAAACATGCCTGAACATAGCTGTATATACCTACATATAGCTACAGATACCTACATATAGCTACAGATTCCTACATTAACTAAACATGCCTGAACATAGCTGTATATACCTACATATAGCTACAGATTCCTACATATAGCTACAGATTCCTACATATAGCTACAGATTCCTACATTAACTAAACATGCCTGAACATAGCTGTATATACCTACATATAGCTACAGATTCCTACATAAAGCTACAGATTCCTACATTAACTAAACATGCCTGAACATAGCTGTATATACCTACATATAGCTACAGATACCTACATAAAGCTACAGATTCCTACATTAACTAAACATGCCTGAACATAGCTGTATATACCTACATATAGCTACAGATACCTACATAAAGCTACAGATTCCTACATTAACTAAACATGCCTGAACATAGCTGTATATACCTACATATAGCTACAGATTCCTACATTAACTAAACATGCCTGAACATAGCTGTATATACCTACATATAGCTACAGATTCCTACATATAGCTACAGATTCCTACCTTAACTAAACATGCCTGAACATAGCTGTATATACCTACATATAGCTACAGCTTCCTACATATAGCTACAGATTCCTACATTAACTAAACATGCCTGAACATAGCTGTATATACCTACATATAGCTACAGATTCCTACATGTAGCTACAGATTCCTACCGTAACTAAACATGCCTGAACATAGCTGTATATAGAACCAGATACCTGCACAAAGCCCGAACATCAGGATATTTGCCCACAAGCAAATCCCATATCTTTCAACACCATCATGATCCTTCACACTACACCGGCTGATTGTGTGACATGAGAAGCCGCTAGACGACCTACCTGAACTGGCAACAGCCACCTGTAGCAGGAACGACGTTAAGACAACGGAAATGTTGTACTTCATGCTGAACAGGGCAGGCGAGCTCTGAAAATAGACGACACACGCAGTCACATACAGAGCCACACCCAGACAAAACCTCTCACACAGAACTACAAACAGACAAAACCTCTCACACAGTCACATAAGAACCATGCCCAGACAAAACCTCACACACACTCACACACAGAACTACAAACAGACAAAACCTCACACACAGTCACACACAGAACCACGCCCAGACAAAACCTCTCATACACAGTCACACACAGAACCACGCCCAGACAAAACCTCTCACACACAATCACACACAGAACCACGCCCAGACAAAACCTCACACACAGTCACACAGAACCACATCCAGACAAAACCTCACACACAGTCACACACAGAACCACACCCAGAACCACAGCCAGACAAAACCTCTCACACACAGAAAAAGGGATCGAGAGAGAGGTAGAGAGAGACTAAGAATGACTTATCTCTCCTATCGGTATCCTCAACCGCACCGCACCCCGCCTCCCCCTCACCTATATCCGCCTGTTGTCAACTAACCCCCACCCCACCCCCCACCAATACATTACATATGCAAAGATATACAATCTCACCCCTCCTATCCGCAGCCCTACCCCTCCGCACCCCGCATCCCCCACCTGCATATCTGTGACCACTGTCCAGTAGATATCCGATTTCACGGTCACTAGCCGCTGGTCGTGTTGCCACCCTGGGCGCAGTATCCCCGCTATAAGACGTGACCTTGACCACCACAGAGACGTACATGTCATCGAATGTTGGCCTGCATCGTGTACTAAGCCAACACAGAATAACACATCACTAATACTGAGGTAGAAATATGCCAGGGTAATTTATAGACAGTTCAGTTTATATAAACATGCATGGTAAGATTTTATGAGTTGTAGGGTGTTATGTCGAGGTGTTAAAAGAACAAGAGGGTAGATGGTTAAATTGTTATTATTTCATGGTTGGCCGATACACTCACAGGATCTCTTACATTCAAATTACAATATGACACAAGAATAAAAATGCGAAATTTCTCAGTTCAATATCGTGTATGGCCGCCCCGCGCATTCACCACTGCCAAACACCGACTCCTCATCGACTGCCCGATGCTTGTGAACACGTGGTTGGGGATTCTGCGCCATTGCTCTTGCAAGGCATCGCCCAGTTCCTGCAAATTCTGAGGTTGGTTCCTAAGACCACGAAGCCTTCTCCCAAGTTCATCCCAAACGTGCTCTATTGGATTAAGGTCAGGGGACCTCGATGGCCAGTCCATGACGTTGATTCCAGCGTTTTGAAGGAAATTTCGTGTCACCATCGCGGTATGCGGCCGAGCATTATCATGCTGGAACTGTAGACCTGGGCCATGAGCCGCCATGAAAGGAACGAGTTCAGGGGGTGAGCACCTGGTCGCGGTAAGCAGCAGCTGTGAGGTTTCCACGGATGACCAGAAGTCGGGAACGGTTGTTCCCACAGAAAGCACCCCACACCATGCAACTTCCGCCACCGAATCTGTCGACTTCCTGTACGCAACATTGGGTATACCGTTCACGACGTCGTCTCCAGACTCTATGCCTGCCGTCCGCGAATCTGAGGGTAAACCTGGATTCATCGCTAAAGACGACTCGATTCCAGTCTCTCTGGGTCCATCGGAGGTGACGTTGGGCCCACAGCAGACGTTGACGTTGATGAAACGGCGTCAATATTGGCCCACGATATGGACGTCGAGAATGGAGATTGGCAGCCCACAACCGATTTCGAATGGTCTGTGAGGACAGTCGACCTCTAAACATCTCAGCCCTGGTTCGTGTAGCCGGCAGAAATCTGTCACGTAGGTGACGTAGGACGATTTGACGGTCTTCTGCTCGTGACGTCACACGTGGACGACCCGACCTTGGGCGATCAGAAATGGTGCCAGTTTGTTGTAGACGACCTCGCAAGTCATACACAGTACGACGGCTGCATCCCATTGCTCTTGCGACGTCAGTAACTGATCACCCATCTTGCAACATGCCAACGGCACGTTCACGTTGCACATTTGACAATCGTGGCATTTCAAGTACCGTTAGAACTGTGGTTTCAAAGTGTTTTTTCAATTCTTGAGCTCAATGCAAACACGTGCATATGAAGAAAACTTCGATGCGAAGATCACGTGATCGACTGCACGTGCAAAACCTGATTTGGCACTAACGTCATTTGCACGAGGAATGGATGGGTTTGAGTGGGTTTTGCTAACGTTTTTCTAGAGTCGACAGATAGGGATCCCATTTCGGATACATAGATGTATCATCAGAGAAAAACTATTCATTATTTTTCAAATTACATTTTGTGAAGTTTCTTTTTTGACTCAGTATATATGGGTAGAAATCGGCGATTTAAGGAGTGAGTGAGTTTAGTTTTACACCGCACTCAGCAATATTCCAGCTATATGGCGACGGTCTGTAAATAATCGAGTCTGGACCAGACAATCCACAGATCAACAGAATGAGCATTGATCTACGCAAATGGAACCGATGACGTGTCAATCAGGTCAGCGAGCCTGACCACCCGATCCCGTTAGTTGCCTCTTACGACAAGCATGGGTTACTGAAGATCACGAGTCTCTAGGGTAAGATGTATGAGTGTATGTGAGATGATAGTGGCACTAAAACACTCATATAATGTACCTTCCACAATGTTCAATACCGTGTTTAGTCCATAGCCTTTGTAGACGATTCCAGAATTATACTTGACTCCAAAACCATCTAAATATAGTAACGTTAGACTGTAATCAACTCGACAACGTATTGTTTAACATAATGTGGTGAACTTCTACATAGCATAAACACGAATATACACTGTAACCCACGAATACACAATGTAACCTCAGAATCCATTTGATCTGTTTCAGTTTGTTTTTCCATTTAAGATCCAATATACAGCATTCATGTATCGCAAAATAACAAACGAACGTATATGACTCGGAAGTGTCAACAGGGTTTTTAAAAGTAAACTATACTTTGCAATCTTTACGCTTGTGAGAGTTTTACTTAGCAATGTATTGCGGCAGGTACATCTCCCAAACACCTTGTACAGGTTCACTTGGTGCTGCTTGTGCATACATTTCTCACATGAGTAGGTAACATAACACTACACCTGAAAATGTCCAGGCCAAAAACTAGGTGGATATCAAGGGTGGAAATATGATGGTCACACAACCGCTGGTCGTGACGTCATGTGCGGTGATAGAAGCTTGGGCCTGCTCACTTACATAGTCTACATACCTTCTAGAAACTTCTATCCTAGGCTTGCTTATCCATATAGCTGTCCGGCCCGGAAAGGTCCTCAGTAATCCATGCTTAGGATCGGGTGGTCAGACTCGCTGACTTGGTTGACACATGTCATCGTATCCCAATTGAGTGCGGCACAAAACTCACTCACTAAACAGTTATCTTTTTATGCGTTTTGCCGTTATCTTTTCCTTGAGGGTCCATTTATCCACATTGTAGATTAAACTGAAGTTTGGATAAGTTCCGCTGCTGTGGTTAATGGTAACATATTGATGCTATGAAGAATATGGGTGTTGCGATATTTTTTGTCATGTGTATAGTCTGAATAACCTTTAGAAAGTTGTAGTCTAGGTTTCATAGCACAAGACTAACACACATTGAAATATTGTAACTTCCTCGCCACTGCTCACATTAGCAAGAAATGCATTTTTTGCACTATCAAAAGTGGTCTGAACTTCTTCTGAAATATACTGAGGGAAACAAAAAAGGGATCACATGAAAGCACAAGTGTTCCTTTATTTTTTTGTCCAAGTTTCTTCACAAGCTTTGTATTGCACAGCTTGTGGAGAAAGCTGGACAAAAGTAAAGGAACACTTGTATGTGCTTTCGTGCGATTCCTTTTTTGTTTCCCTCAGTATATACATTTTATACATTTTTTAGATTAAATAGGCAAGTCGCAAAAATATCGCGACGCCAAAATGTTTGTTGGTCGCCACTCGCAAAGATATCGTGACGCAAAAATGACGTGATTTACAATAACAGAGACGTGTAATGCCATACAATCACAGCATTATTTACTAATGAATTCAAGATTCGTTATACAGGCCTTGTATACTGAATGAAGAATCATAAATGTATTACATCGTCAGGTGTTAGTGAAGTAGGGTGTATTTTTGGTATCTAGTTTGTTTGGGGTGGGGCACTCTTTCAGTGATTGCGCACCGGGATTACATTCCATAGCACAGTATAAACCCATGATTCATATTCTGCCTGGTGAGGGCTGACCTTTATCACTTCGTTTATGGGGATGAACATCAGATTGATTTAATTCAGAGGACTGACGTGGCACTCGGCCGTGAATTTAGTAAAACAAGTAATGGCGTTTTTATGGTGAAATGTTAATGACCACCTAGATAGCTTTGTCACAACTATCCAGCATCAAGCATTCCCGCTGAGGTCTCGATCTCTTAAAAATACGAAGAAAAAAGACCGATGTCTTTAAACCGTTCGCGTGATGGACTGGTTAGACACGTCACCAGTAGTTTAGTTGTAGGGTATTCAGTTGGGAGGGGTTGTGTGCGTGTGTCGAGTAGGGGAAGGGTGGAGAGAGGCGGGTATAGAATATTCAGTTGGGCGGGGTTGGGTGCGTGTGTGGGGTGGGGAGGGGTGGAGAGAGGCGGGTATAGAATATTCAGTTGGGCGGGGTTGTGTGCGTGTGGGGGTGGGGGAGGGTGGAGAGAGGCGGGTGTAGGATATTCAGTTGGGCGGGGTTGTGTGCGTGTGTGGGGTGGGGAGGGGTGGAGAGGCGGGTATAGAATATTCAGTTGGGCGGGGTTGTGTGTGTGGGGGTGGGTGAGGGGTGTTGGTGGGGCGAATGGGCTATATATATAGTATTTCAAGCAATCACTTGGTTGTCGTCCATGTCGTCGACTGACATGGACCAGGTGAGTTCGACGTTGGCAGATGCGTGATTGGCGACGTGTGGTGTTCACCGACGACAGTAGGTTTTTCGTCTGTACAGCAATGACAGTCGGGCTCGTGTTTACTGACAGCAGGTGAACGTTGAGCGCCGAAATTGCGTGCAGCAAATCCGACCGTTTGGAGCAAGTAGCCGGATGGTGTTGGGAGCGATCTGCAGCCATCTCAAAACGAGTCTTGTGATTATTCATGGCAACCTGAACAAGGAAGAAGTTTTGCGACCATTTGTGTTGCCATTTATCCAGCAACAACCACGTGACATTGTCTACCAACACGATAACGCAAGGATTCATACAGCAAGACTGGCAGACGACCACGCTAACATCGCTGTTTTGCCGTGGCCAGCATGTTCTCACGGCATGAATCCGAAAGAACACTTATGAGACTACCGGGATCAACAAATCAGAAGACTACCAGAGCCACCTAATGGCGCTTAACAACTGGAACAATGTCTCCTACAGGAAGAGCAACGGATCACGTCCGTCATTCGTCGTCTTACGTCATCAATGCGTTTTTGCGTGTATTGAAGCCAGAGGTGGTTACACTCACTATTGATTCAACATTTCATGACATTTTATGGACAAAAAACGTCTTTGTGTAAAGGTTCAGCCTGTGATACCACGTGTCTTTCAAATTCAGTGTCAGTCAAACGGTACTTTCGACTCTGTATGGAATGAAACTGTGTACATTTGCTGTAGAATTGAATACTCTATTGAAATTAAACAGATGTTTATCATATCTATACCTTCAAATTTGGTCAAACACACTGTATACTCTTTTTTGACCATTTAGTGAGTCTAGGGTCATATTCTGCAAGCCTGGTTCCATATTCTGCAAGCCTGGTTCCATATTCTGCAGGACCGGTGCCATTTTGTGTGATTCTCAAGTCATGCTTTGTAAGTCTGGTTTTTATGCGTTTAAGCAATGTTTTGTGCGGTTTAAGCAACATTTTGTGAGTCTTAAGTCATGTTTTGTGCGTTGTAAGTCATGTTCTGCAGGTCTGGTGTCATGTTTTGTGCGTCTGAAGTCATGTTTTTGCGCATCTTAAATAATATTTTGTGCTTCCTAAGTCATGTTTTGTGCGTTTTAAGTCAAGTTTTGTGAGTATTAAGTAATGTTTTGTGAGTCTGGTGTCAGGTTCTGTGAGTCTAATGTCATGTTTTGTGAGTCTAATGTCATGCTTTGTAAGTCTGGTGTTATGCTCTGTGAGTCTAATGTCATGCTCTGTAAGTCTGTTGTTATGCTCTGTGAGTCTAATGTCATGTTCTGTAAGTCTGTTGTTATGCTCTGTGAGTCTAATGTCATGTTCTGTAAGTCTGTTGTTATGTTCTGTAAGTCTGTTGTTATGTTCTGTAAGTCTGTTGTTATGTTCTGTAAGTCTGTTGTTATGTTCTGTAATGTTCTGTAAGTCTGTTGTTATGTTCTGTAATGGTCTGTAAGTCTGTTGTTATGTTCTGTAAGTCTGTTGTTATGTTCTGTAAGTCTGTTGTTATGTTCTGTAATGTTCTGTAAGTCTGTTGTTGTGTTCTGTAAGTCTGTTTTCATGTTCTGTAAGTTTGTTTTTATGTTCTGTAAGTCTTTTTTTATGTTCTGTAAGTCTGCTGTTATGTTCTGTAATGTTCTGTAAGTCTGTTGTTGTGTTCTGTAAGTCTGTTTTTATGTTCTGTAAGTCTGTTTTTATGTTCTGTAAGTCTGTTGTTATGTTCTGTAATGTTCTGTAAGTCTGTTTTTATGTTCTGTAATGTTCTGTAAGTCTGTTGTTATGTTCTGTAAGTCTGTTGTTATGTTCTGTAAGTCTGTTTTTATGTTCTGTAAGTCTGTTGTTATGTTCTGTAATGTTCTGTAAGTCTGTTGTTATGTTCTGTAAGTCTGTTTTTATGTTCTGTAAGTCTGTTGTTATGTTCTGTAATGTTCTGTAAGTCTGTTGTTATGTTCTGTAAGTCTGTTGTTGTGTTCTGTAAGTCTGTTTTTATGTTCTGTAAGTCTGTTTTTATGTTCTGTAAGTCTGTTGTTATGTTCTGTAATGTTCTGAAAGTCTGTTTTTATGTTCTGTAAGTCTGTTGTTATGTTCTGTAAGTCTGTTGTTATGCTCTGTAAGTCTGTTTTTATGTTCTGTAAGTCTGTTGTTATGTTCTGTAATGTTCTGTAAGTCTGTTGTTATGTTCTGTAAGTCTGTTGTTATGTTCTGTAAGTCTGTTTTTATGTTCTGTAAGTCTGTTTTTATGTTCTGTAAGTCTGTTGTTATGTTCTGTAAGTCTGTTCTGTAAGTCTGTTGTTATGTTCTGTAAGTCTGTTGTTATGTTCTGTAAGTCTGTTGTTATGTTCTGTAATGTTCTGTAAGTCTGTTGTTATGTTCTGTAAGTCTGTTGTTATGTTCTGTAAGTCTGTTGTTATGTTCTGTAAGTCTGTTGTTGTGTTCTGTAAAGTCTTTGTTATGTCTGTAATGTTCTGTAAGTCTGTTGTTGCTGTTCTGTAAGTCTGTTGTTATGTTCTGTAAGTCTGTTGTTGTGTTCTGTAAGTCTGTTTTATGTTCTGTAAGTCTGTTGTTATGTTCTGTAATGTTCTGTAAGTCTGTTGTTATGTTCTGTAAGTCTGTTGTTATGTTCTGTAAGTCTGTTTTTATGTTCTGTAAGTCTGTTGTTATGTTCTGTAAGTCTGTTGTTATGTTCTGTAAGTCTGTTCTGTAAGTCTGTTGTTATGTTCTGTAAGTCTGTTGTTATGTTCTGTAAGTCTGTTGTTATGTTCTGTAATGTTCTGTAAGTCTGTTGTTATGTTCTGTAAGTCTGTTGTTATGTTCTGTAAGTCTGTTGTTATGTTCTGTAAGTCTGTTGTTGTGTTCTGTAAGTCTGTTGTTATGTTCTGTAATGTTCTGTAAGTCTGTTGTTATGTTCTGTAAGTCTGTTGTTATGTTCTGTAAGTCTGTTGTTGTGTTCTGTAAGTCTGTTTTTATGTTCTGTAAGTCTGTTTTTATGTTCTGTAAGTCTGTTGTTATGTTCTGTAAGTCTGTTGTTATGTTCTGTAAGTCTGTTGTTATGTTCTGTAAGTCTGTTGTTATGTTCTGTAAGTCTGTTGTTATGTTATGTTCTGTAAGTCTGTTTTTATGTTCTGTAAGTCTGTTGTTATGTTCTGTAATGTTCTGTAAGTCTGTTTTTATGTTCTGTAAGTCTGTTGTTATGTTCTGTAAGTCTGTTCTGTAAGTCTGTTGTTATGTTCTGTAAGTCTGTAGTTATGTTCTGTAAGTCTGTTGTTATGTTCTGTAAGTCTGTTGTTATGTTCTGTGAGTCTATTTTCATGTTCTGCAAGTCTGGTGTCATGCTCTGTAAGTCTGGTGTCATGTTATGTGAATCAGGTGTCATGTACTGTGAGTCTGGTGTTATGTTCTGTATGTCTGGTGTTATATTCTGTGAGTCTGGTGTCATGTTCTGTGTTCGAGTTTTGGTACAACTGTCATGAATTACACAACAAGAAGTAGAAATGCAGCATTATTTTTATCCTTTTTTCAGATCATGTTATTCAGGGTTACATTAAACATGAAAGAAAGAAAGTGCTTCCCTATACATAATTAGTTCGATGTAGAGTAACATGGAGTAATTGTTGAGCTGATTACTTCATTTAATAAATCTTAGACAGAGCATCGCCTCTTAGCCCTCTATATGACGGCCATTATGAAAACTGTCCGTCAATTTTCCCATTTTCGGGTAGTTATGATATAAATTGACTTCCGTTGACCAAACTGTTAAAGATAGAAAGACATGTATTGGATGAAAAATGATCAGCTATGAATTTCCTACAAGTTGATATATGAATTATGAGAATTGGAGAATTGTAAAAAAGGTTATGACGAAAAAACGTAAAAACGAAACGTCTCTGGTCCCATCACATACAGGAGATTCTTAACCAAGGGCAGGTAACTCTAACCTGCTTTGCCCCCCAAATGAGGTGCAATTCTATATCCAAAAAATTTTCCCCCAGAAGATTGTCAATAGTCCCTTAAACAAAGATAACCATTTAATGCAGAGCCAACGAGACACAACGACCTAATGGCGTCGCTATAGATAGACTGACATACTACGAAACTACGAAAAACAAGGAAAACTGACGCTTTATCTCACTCTGTACATCAACCTCCTCTGCTGTAATCACTTATCAAATATCCAATGTACATCAACCTTGTTAATTGTATATACTCACCATACAGCTATGTATATATTCTCCTTGCTTCAGTTGTTGTATCACTTGCTTGATAACGGTGTTAGTACCTACACCGAAACGGCGCACTCATTGCAATAAAGAAGTTGACTATCCATACAAATCAGTTTTCCTTCATCTTCACAACTTCTAAAATGCCTCTCAAAGAAATTACGAAAAACAACTTCAGCCAACGATGAAGAGTAAGAATATACCCCGAATCATTGTGTTCCCCATAATATGGGAGCTGACATGCATCCATTTCCCCCTTTAGATATTACAAAGCTGTACATAATTCTAAAGTGTGTCAGTATATATAGACTATATACAAACCTAGGGCCACTTGTTACAGGGCAACTATAAACTGCTGGCATTGCTAGAGGGTGAAGAAAGTTTATCACAAGGTTTCATAACAGAGATGTACAAAATGCATAGTTCACATTATTTAGGCACTGATCATTTATTATAAAGAGTGAGTGAGTATGATTTTACGCCACTTTCGTCAATATTCCAGCAATATTACCGGAAATTGGCTTCACACATTGCAGCCATGTGGGGAGTCGAACCCGGGTCTTCGGTGTGACGAGTGAACGACATGGGAGGGCATGGTGAGTGAGTGAGTTTTGTTTTACACTGCTTTTAGCAATATTCCAGCAATATTCCAGCAATATTCCAGCAATATTCCAGCAATATTCCAACAATACCATGACGGGGGATACCAGAAATGGCCTTCACACATTGTACAGCTTTCATGTGATCACTTTTTTTTCCTCAGTATATTTTCGGAGACAAGGCATTAGTCTGATACAGACATATAACAACATGACACATCACAGGATCAGACATCAGACATCAGTCCAACTGCTCCAATGACAGGCTGTTTCCATGCAGCAGTTGTCTCCCCTGGTCAGACAGTGTGTGGCAGATCTCATGTCGGATGATGTCTTACCTCATCATGTTCCGTCATCTGATCAAGACATTTACCTGAGCTATTTGTCTCAAGAACATATTCCGCAATGGATAAATATGTATCCTCACACGCAGAGAGTCCTGTGACAGATGTGTGACAGACGTGTGACAGATCTATCTGTGACACAGACATATACCACCATACTCACACCAAGAGAGTCCTGTGACAGACGTGTGACAGACGTGTGACAGCTCTATCTGTGACACAGACATAAACCATGAATCTTCATTTCCAGGTCAAACAGTTCAATAGCAGGCACAAAACAGATTACATACAGTGCACGAATTCCTCGCACACAATATTAAATTAAACCAAATAACGATATATATGTACTGTACATAAAGAAATATACTCCATCTATAAAGCAAATCTTGGACGGAATGTTGGTGGGAGCAGTTGTCTGCCCTTGCTGAAATAATATCCACCCGTAGGTCCATCTACCTCAGAAGCAGTTGCCTCCCCTTCCAAACACCAGAATCTTCTTCCTAAATGTATACACCATTTTAGCAGTTGATGACGTGTAACATGTCCATATATTTATCTACCACCGGTGTAGCAGTTGTCTCCCTTTGCCGGTACAGGATGCCATATCCATAACTAGGATGTTTATAACAAAGTAATGGATATAATAAACTATATTTTGTCCCTGTCACTTGCTCTCTGTTTTAGTCGAAATGTGTACCAAACTATATTATAACGAACTAAGATTAGATGACCCTTTGAGGTCTTCCCTAAGTTGACCGTACTTACAAATATACTCTTAAAAAAAAGAAACTTGACATAAGAAAGCCACATCAGCGTACTCCACATACATTGCTTTAAGCCACTAAAGACGACTAGACTTGGAATGACAGAAGCTCAACGACACAACGCCATCGGCCGTTTACAAGGAGGGGCATCGCAGCATGAGGTGGCAAGGCACTTATTCACTAAATAATAATAATATTCTAGTAGGTGAACAGATCTCATACTCAAATTGGTGATCACTTTTCGAACCTGAGTTCAACTTTGGGTGACACCCAGTCTTTAATCCCTTGAAACAACAACGCTAAAACCACATATCACATCAAAGGATTTTTACCCTCAACCCAAGGGGTCGACGTTTCGGTAAGACACCGGCACTTCAGCGTGTCCACACAGACCATCTCAAACCTATTGACCCTCTACAACAATACCGAGAGTGTTAATGACTGACCAACCACCGCCAGCCAGGATCTCTACATCCGGTTGAAACAACTTTGTTCACGCACCACGACCGTTCCACAGCAAGTCACATCCCTGGACTGCGCCGCATCTCATACCAGACAGTGCGCAATCGGTTACGGAAAGCCGGACTTTTTGCCAGAAGACCAGTTCGACGTAACGTCTTGACACAAGGTCACCGGGCTGAACGTATTCAATGGCGCAGACAACGAGTGAGAAAACCAAGGGCAAGATGGAGGACAAATTTGCTCTCAAATTAGTCTCGGTTTCTTCTCAGGCGTGCTGATGGACGTTCACGTGTATAGAGAGGTCAGAACGAACGTTACACCGATAACTGTGTACAGCATGTCGATAGATGGTGGTGAAAGTGTCATGATGTGGGCAGGACTTTATCATAATGGCCGGACAGCTCTTGTGCACGTAGCAGGTGCGTTGAATGGGGTTCGCTATAGACACGAGATTTTGCCACCTCACATCGTTCCCTTCATTAACGTCAACGGTGGATCTTTCCAGCATTACAACACGTGTTTGCAAATACTTCCTCCAGCAAAACAACATTCAGGTGTTACCATGGCCTTCTCGGTCGCCCGATTTGTCCCCCATTGAACATCTATGGGATACTCTTGATCGACTCTTGCGCCAGCGTAATCCGCCACCTCAGACACTACAAGAACTGCACGCGGCACTTCAGCACCAGTATCAAAACATTCCTCAAGACAGCATTCGACATCTCCTTTCCTCTGTGGGTTACCGCTGCCAAGCTGTTATCGATGCTCATGGTGGTCACACCAGATAGTGACATTTTACTGAGACCAAGTGGCTTTAATAGTCCTCTGTGCTTTTACCAAACACTCTCTGGATAATCATGTTTTGGAAATTTGTAAAGTGACGATTTTATTGTAACTGAGCTATGATGTCATGTTTGAAATCAGTTATGTGCACTCAGTAAATAAACTCCAAAACAGCATGTCAGTTTCTTTTTTTGAAGAGTATAAATGCGACTGTAGTTTCCCATCTATAAGGTCACAAATTACAACCTTTTGGTTGATAATGTTAAAGACAATGTCAACATGAAAAATAAAGGCCCGAAAAACAATGAAGCAGTTCTGTCTTTGGCAATGGCCGATTGCTTGAAAATTCGGGAGACCGTACATCAGTCTGCCCAAGTCTGTGGTCTCCCTAATGATGGTTTTTAAATACATTTGGTCTATGTATATATATGTATATTTGTGTTTCGAATTTAGTTTTATTGTTTTTTTATGTTCTGTATTCCACAATTCTACAACTGTAAGATTATTTCCTCTCACGTATCCATATACATGTACAATAGCATTGATAAGTAAATGATTCATCGACCTCCTCCGTACATGCAGACCTCGAGTCACCACTGTAGCCCAAGATCGATACATCCGGGTACGACATTTGCGTGATCATACCGCTACGGGTGAGAGCACAACAGCACAGCAGCCAGGTTGCCTGACTACGGAGGATATCCGGTCAAACTGTACGGAACAGGTTGGAAGAGATTGGACTGAGAGACTGGAGACCCGACGTCGGGACCGTGCTACGTCGTCACCATGGCGCTCAACGTCTTGTTATCTAAAATGATCCACTTGGTTGTATAGACATTACCTTCTTCTAAACTGATGTCAAACTTCATGTACTAAAGTCTGTTTGTAGACGAGTTATACATGTTTGAAAATACAACATTTTCGCAACTGCTTTCTGGCATATGCGTTTCTTTTTTGGCATAGTATAATTTACTTTTAATGATTATAAATCTATAACTTGATTTAGTCACGATATTGCTAAGATATTGCTGATGTGACTTAAAGTCTTAACTCACTCACTCACTCTTGTACTGCCACTATAGTCTGGCATTATACCCTGACACACATGCCCTCTATATACATGATATAACCATTCACAAACAATGCACCTGTCACATGTACGCACCGGGTGATACAAGAAGGTCCAAAGGGTAATGTGGCTCCGTCTTTGTAGAATGGTTTTCTTGACTGCTGACTCTGTGTTTGGTTCTCCACGTGGATGGTTCACAAGTCACAGTGACCTGACATATTGCACCACCTCCATATGTCCTCGTTTACGGGCCACGTCTAGGCAGTTTTTACCGTCTTTGTTTCTGAGTGAGAGATTAGCTCCATTCTTTACCAGCAGTTCGATCACATCCTTATGTCCAAATCTTGCTGCTATTATCGCTGGTGTCCTGCCCTTCCATCCCCTGCCTGTTTATGTGCACCGCGTGCAGTGAGAGGATATATTTCACGACATGTAAAAATCCCGTGACACATGTATGGTGAAGGATGTTCTCATCCGCCCCATCAATCAATGACAGATCAGTACCATGTTGTACGAGTAGTTCCACCACTTCTTTACGTTTCTGACGTGATGCTACCATCACTGGTGTCCCCCTTTTCCATCCCCTGCTGTCTATGTCCACCCGGTTCAGTGAGAGGATATATTTCACGTGATCCAATTGTCCCCTCTGACAGGCAACGTGAAGGACGTTCCCCTCTATTCCACTGAGTGACAGATCAGCTCCATGTTTTACGAGTAATTTCGCCACTTTGGTTTGACCCCATACTGCAGCTGACATCGCTGGTGTCCTCTTCTTAAACCCCCCGCTGTTTATGTCCACCGAGTTCAGAGAGAGGAGATATTTCACTACATCAAATCTTCCTGGGTAACAGGCACGGTGAAGGGCGTTGTCCCCATGTTCATCACGCAGAAACAGATCAGCTCCATGTTTTACCAGTAGCTCCACCACTTCTTTATGTCCCTGTTCTGCTGCTACCATCAATGGTGTCCTCTTCTGCAACCCCCTGCTGTTTATGTCCACCGAGGTCAGAGAGAGGAGATATTTCACGACATCAAATTGTCCTGCGTAACAGGCACGGTGAAGGGCGTCGTCCCGATTTTTATCACCTAGTAACAGCTTAGCTTCATATTTTAAGTGTACTTCAACCACTTCCTTGTGATCACATTCAACTGCTACCATCACTGGCGTGTTCTTGTCATGTCCTAGACTGTTCATATCAATTATTTTCTGTGAGAGGATGTACTTCACCAACTCCGCATCTCCCCCCCTACAGGCACAGTGAAGGATGTTGTCACCTGCGTCATCCAGTAGTGACACGTCAGCTTCTTTGTCCACAAGCAACGCTACCATGTCTTTGTGACCGTTTTCTGCTGCCAGCATCACAGCTGTTCTCCCGCACTGTACTCTATCATTGATGTCCACCATGTTCTGTGAGAGGACATACTTGACCACCTCGATGTCTCCTCCCATACAGGCTGAATGAAGGATGTTGATGCCGAATCTATCGACCAGTTTTACGTTAGCCCCTTTACTCACAAGTAACTCCACCACTTCTCTATGTCCCCCACTGGCTGCCCACATCACCGGTGTTCTACCAATCCACTCTCGACAGTTAATGTCCGCCCGTCCCAGTGACAATAATAATTTCACCCTTGACAGTTTCCCGTACTTTGAGGCGGTATGAAGGTCACATAGTGGTGGAGCTGTAACACAAAGTTAAACTCTATACAAATATTAGACGATAGTTTGGAATGTACAAGGTTAAAGGAGAATACGGACGAAAACAAAACTTTTGATATATTGTAAAGGATATTCTAAAAGTCACCTTCCGTTATTAAAACTGGGCAATAAAAACACTAAAAACGTTCTCATATTTCTGCCTATTACGGAAACACCTGACAGTTAATGAGCGGAGGGGGTATCACGTGACATGACGTCATATGTGCCTGTTGCTGATGGCTTCCTCTTTGATTTTACCTCACAACTTAACAGTGTCCATGGATTCTGAAGAAGTAACAGATGTTCCTGATGTCATTTCTGAAATGGATGTTAGACCGTATCAATACGATCCGATTTTACATCTTACAAGACAATCTTCCATTGCAGATGAAGAAGAGAATCAAGCAAAACGGAGGCACCGCTTGAGGTCAAAATAAATTTAAAACTATACCATATCATATAACAAGATTACTATTTGTCAGCAAAATGTGATACAGTTCCAACCAGCAAACCCACCCCTATAAATATATGACTAGTCTCTAAGAATTATTTAAAAAATAATGTGACTGCAGTTCCTTTTGTGTCAAATGGGTGACTGTAGGGTGTCTGGGATTTAAAAACAAAATAATTATATTTCAGCCGTGGGAAAATAGAAAAATTACTACAAAGTTTACACTGGAATTATTTTGTTGAAAAAAATCAGGATCCTAGTTCTCATTAATAACGTATCAAGTCTCCATACAAGATTCCAGCCTGGTCGAGCTGAGATAATATTCGCAGAGATAAATTATTCCCCGAAAACTGGTGAATTATAAAATACTAGTCAGGACAATGTATGTTTCCTCAGTGTTTGGTTATGGAAATAGTTATGGTACTCGGTCATAGCCTTAGAATGACATCTTGTCAGCCAATGAGAATACAGAACAACTTTCACGGCACACGTAATTGGACAAAACGGAAGACAATGAAAGCAACAAGTACTTCATGATTTGCCGTTGTGTTCGGCAACGTTTCAGGTAGACTGTAGCATTTAGGGCTCCAAACCGAAAAGAACGTTATAGCGAAATATTTTCAAGCTCATGTGAAATCTCTTACAAAATTTGATAATATATATTTCATGGATACCAGTCGAACTGCCCCAGCTACAAAATGCCACAGCAAATTGAGACATTCATTCTTATATGTTCAAATATATTTAAAATGATTAAATATATGCCGTAAATGCATAGTTTTTGTCAATTTTGATATTATTTTCTTCCTATATAAGTTGTTAGGAAGAAATATTTCTGATAAATGTTCCATTAGTAAACTCACAACTATGTATATACTTTTATGATAAATGTTCCATTAGTAAACTCACAACTATGTATATACTTTTATGATAAATGTTCCATTAGTAAACTCACAACTATGTATATATTTTTATGATAAATGTTCCATTAGTAAACTCACAACTATTTATATACTTTTATGATAAATGTTCCATTAGTAAACTCACAACTATGTATATACTTTTATGATAAATGTTCCATTAGTAAACTCACAACTATTTATATACTTTTATGATAAATGTTCCATTAGTACACTCACAACTATGTATATACTTTTATGATAAATGTTCCATTAGTAAACTCACAACTATGTATATACTTTTATGATAAATGTTCCATTAGTAAACTCACAACTATGTATATATTTTTATGATAAATGTTCCATTAGTAAACTCACAACTATTTATATACTTTTATGATAAATGTTCCATTAGTAAACTCACAACTATGTATATACTTTTATGATAAATGTTCCATTAGTAAACTCACAACTATTTATATACTTTTATGATAAATGTTCCATTAGTACACTCACAACTATGTATATACTTTTATGATAAATGTTCCATTAGTACACTCACAACTATGTATATACTTTTATGATAAATGTTCCATTAGTAAACTCACAACTATGTATATACTTTTATGATAAATGTTCCATTAGTAAACTCACAACTATGTATATACTTTTATGATAAATGTTCCATTAGTAAACTCACAACTATGTATATACTTTTATGATAAATGTTCCATTAGTAAACTCACAACTATGTATATACTTTTATGATAAATGTTCCATTAGTAAACTCACAACTATGTATATACTTTTATATGAAGAACATAACATCAAAGTCACCAGAAATTCCAACATGGCTGGGTAACCAACAGAGGACGATGTGGGATTGGCCAGTAGCAAGATCATAATATAATTCAATAATTTCGATTAAAAGTGGATGTTTGCAAGAGAGAGTGTCTAATAGCCCGAAGGCACAAAAGAGAGTCTGAAAAGATTATATATTGTTTACATTTCGGGTGTTTATTGATGTATTTAGGAGCTGTTAATATGGCGTTAGCTTCTGCTGTGATAATAGAGCTGTTTGGTAATCGAGAAGATATTGTTCAGGATCCAATGACGACCCACAGCGCCACCATCCTTGGATCCATCTGTAAATAAGGACTTGTATGTATTATATTTACTTTTTAATTGATTATATTCTTATTTATAAGTCATTAGTTTCTGATTTTTACATTTAGTGAGTGTAAGGTCGACTTGTGGCCTAACTAATTGCCAAGGAGGGGAAGAAAGAAGACGGGAAGGAGATATAGGTTCGAGATCAATGTCAGCAGCATAACTGAATGGTTTAATTCTGAGCCCAAGAGACGAACCAAGAGAAGATTTGTTGTTGTATAAATCCTCACAGAGGGGATTGAAGACACAGTTATATGCAGGGTTAGATTTGTTCGAGTATAGTTTTGTAATATATTGTAAAGATAGTTTTATACGGCGTTGTGTAAGAGATGGCTCATCTGCCTCGACGTAGAGACTGCCAACAGGAGAAGTTCTAAAAGATCCAAGACAAAGTCTTAGACCTTGGTGGTGGACAGAATCAAGAATTATAAGGTTGCTTTTGCAGGCTCCACCATATACGATGGAGCAGTAATCAAGTTTTGAACGGACCAGTGATCGATATAGATGTAGGAGGGTAGCTTGACCCCTCCCCACTTTGAATTAGACACGACTTTTAACAAGTCAAGTGCCTTCAGGCATTTATGTTTTAAAGTATTTAATATGTGGTAAAGAAGTCAGACGAGAGTCAAAAATTAGTACCAAAAACTTGGCGTCTGTTACAACCTTGATGGGTGTGCCATTTAAAACTACTTCTGGGTCTTTGTGCGGATTATATTTTCTACAGAAATGTATACAAATTGTTTTGGATTTTGAAAATTTTAAACCGTTTTCAATTAAACCAGTTATGAATTTTATTGCGACATAGTTGTAAATGCCTCTCTATTGTATACATATTTTAACGCGAATAGAAACATTAAAATCATGCACGAAAAGTGATCCATCAACTGAATAATTTAAAACCCTTGAAAGGCTGTTTATTTTAATACGTTATAACGCTACAGACACAATGCTGCCTTGTGGAACACCCTGATCCTAATAATAATGGTCAGACAGGGTTGAACCCACTCAGACCTGAAATTACCTGTCTGTTAAAAACTGTGATATAAAAAGAGGTAAACGACCCCTTAAACCAAAATCATGTAACGCTTTTAGATTGCCGTGCTTCGGGGTAGTATCGTTGGCTTTCTCAAAACCAAATAGGATTTATACTACATGTTTAGTTGCAATCGCATTCTTAAGATAGGATTCCAATCGTACTAAATGATCAATAGTGCTTCGATTTTTCCGGAAACCACATTGTATATTTGTAATTATGTTATTGATTTCACGATACCAAATTAATCTGCTATGTACCATACGTTCCATGGTCAATTTGATGGATCTCCGTGATCCCGGCCGGGTTTCGGAATGGGACTACAATTGCATTACTCAACGAAGTATGAAAATTCCATATTCGGTCTAAAAGTGACACCAGACATGGTTCAGGTAAGTGTTTCAGTACCTGGTAATGTATATTGTCATCACCCGCTGCAGTGTCATGAGCTTGCTCAAGAGCTCGATGCAGCTCATGTAACGAAAACACTTCATTATAATCTTCACCGTTATTTGATTCGAAATTAAGTTTGGTCTTTTCCTGTTGTTCCTGATAACTCTGAAAAGCAGGGACATAATTTATCCATGAACATTTTTGGCAAGAGTTTCGCCAATATTCCAATTGTATTTGAGGTTTTAGATTTGTCAGTAATTAAACCATCACCATCACCATGGTTAACTGCAGATTTTGAATCTTTGCCTTTAATTCTTTCAACCTTTTATTCGCTGAACCATGTTCCATACCTTGGAGTTTGGCGTGCGTGAATTAATTTTGGAGATATAGTTTCTCCAAGATTGTCGTTTGTTTCATTTGAAGGTACAACGTGCCTTTTAATTGAGTATTTTAAATTTCTTTAAGTTATGGACAGTTGGATGGTGGCGGAAATAGTGCTCCGCCTTTTTCTTCGCTTTTCTGGCTTGTCTACAATCTGTATTAAACCATGGTTTTCGTACATGCGGTGTCGTAGAGGTCTTTGGTATACACTCATCAGCTATTTGCTTTAAAACGTCAGCAAAAGTTTGAATGGGATCAGTTATATTACTGAAACATTCAGGTCGCAGATGTGATTTACAAACAGTTTGATATAGAGACTAGTTAGCCTTCGAAAAGTTCCATCTTGTATACGATGGAGAATCAGATGGAGTTAATTCTGAAAGGATAGTTGGGAAGTGGTCACTTCCACAAAGGTCATTATGAACAGACCAATCAAATTCATTCAGGAGGTTAGAATCTGCAAGAGACAAATCCAGAGAAGAATAAGTGCCAGTTGCCGGATGCAGATAGGTGCTTGAATCATCATTAAATATGC